AGAAAGTATTGTATACTGCTGACAACTTGATTTTAGAGTTTATGTAACAGTCACTAAGCAAATGCTTTAGGTTGTCAATACCACCAACAACATTCAGAGCCTTATCTCTACACCTGAGTAGCTGCTTCCACATCCAAGAGTCACCACTTTTAGCTTTAACATTCCATACATCTCTACGTTTTAAATAATTCCCATGTATCCATTTCACCCAAAGTATTTTCTTGTTTATATGAATATACCATAAGCTCCTCATAGCAGTAGCCAGGTTCCATAAAGATGCAGAGTAAACACCCAATCCACCTTGCTTTTTCCCACAGCACACCTTATCCCAAGAGACCAAAGGAGTTTTAGAGGAGTTTTCAGACTTTCCCCACAAGAATTGCCTACATACTTCATCAATCCTCTTCACGACCTTTACTGGCAGTATGAAATTTGATGTCCAATAGTTTTGAATACCCAATATCACACTTTTTATCACCTGAACCCTTCCTGCATATGACAAAGTGTTGTGTCTTGTCCACTTCTGAAATTGATTTGAGATATTATCTATCAATGGGTTGCAATCCACATATGTTAACCTCTTACAGATGAGAGGAACCCCTAAGTATTTGAATGGTATAGCCCCTTCTGAAAACCCCAGAAAATTTTTAATCTCTGTTTTGGTAGACTCATCAACCCCTCCAAAGTAAATAGAACATTTGTCCAAGTTTGCTTCCAAACCTGTTGCAGCACTGAAATCTCTCACACATTGATACAATTTTTGGACTGAAATTAAATCTCCTTTAGCAAACAGTAGCAAATCATCCGCAAAGATGAGATGAGAAATTTTGAGCTTACCACACATTGGGTGATACTTAAACATCCTGTCATTTTTTAACAGCTCTAATCTAAACATCCTGTCATTTTTTAACAGCTCTAATCTCCTTGATAAGTATTCCATCCCAAGGATAAAGAGGTATGGTGATAAAGGATCACCCTGCCTTAAGCCCCTCTTTCCTTCAAAATAGCCATGAAGAGTACCATTTAGAGATATAGAGAATTTAGGTGAAGATATACAAGCCATTACCCAGCTGATATATTCCTTTGGAAACTTCAGCCCTTCAAGCATCATCCTTATAAAATCCCAGCTTATTGTGTCGAAAGCTTTCCTGATATCAATGTTCATCATGATTCTTGGTGAAATGTTCTTTCTACTATAGCTTCTAACAAGCTCATGAGCCAAGGAGATATTACTTGTGATTTGTCTACCTTTGACAAATGCACTTTGTGCTCCATTTATAATACTCCCCATAATTGGTTTAATCCTATTCACAAGGATTTTAGAAATGAATTTATATATGCAATTGCAGCAGGATATGGGCCTGAAATCAGAAGGGGAAACTAGACATTGCTTCTTTGGAACAAGGGTAATAGCAGTTGAATTCACCATACGCAGTAATTTTTCATTTTTGAAAAATTCTTCAATAGCTAGCATCACCTCCTCCCCTATCACAGGCCAAGCAGACTTATAAAATGCAATACCATATCCATCTGGTCCAGGTGCCTTGTTTTCATCCATTGAAAAAATAGTATTCTTTATCTCTTCTTTTGAAACAGGTCTGGTAAGAGAGTTAGCCTGTGCTTCATTCAAACAATGTCCAGCTTGGATAACTTGAGAGTCAGGCTCTGTAGTAACTGGAGCAACCCCCAAAAGGCCTTAAAGAAATCTATCATTTCATTTGCAATTTCCTCTTGGTCAGTAATCCTCTGCCCTAAGGTGTTGTAAAGAACTAACACCTTATTATGGTGTCTATTTGCTTTTATCCTGGAGTGAAAAAAATTTGTGCACCTATCTCCTTGTACACTCCATTTAATCCTGGCTTTTTGCTGCAGAAAAGAAAGCTCACAGTCAAGGAGGTTATTGCATCTTGTAATACATTCCTTCTCCTTCATAATGTAAGCTGGATTGAGAGGATTCAATTGAAGAGCACACTGAGCCTCATCAAGAGCTATTTTGGCTCTAATAACCTGCTCACTGATATTGTAATAATGCTTTTTGTTTAACTCCTTAAGAGCAGCTCTCATCAGTTTAAGCCTCCTACAAACTGTAAACATTTTGCATCCCTTTACTTTTGTTTGCCAGATATTAGAAACAGTGGTTATGTAGCTGTCATGCTTAGACCACATCTTGAAGAACCTAAATGGTTTCTTCCCCTTGGAATACTCCTGGAAAAGAGAAACTAAAGCAGGAGAATGGTCAGAGAAATGAGGAAGTAAAAATTCCACCTGACTGGCATTGTACATGTTAAACCATGCATCATTCACCAAATCCACCTCCTTCAAATACTAAATCATAATGCACTCCCAAATTAGCAGTTCGAGATACAAAATCATAATCCGCCTCCTTCAAATACATGAAATACCATACTGATTTGAGGAACTAATTTATAAATACCTAGAGTGACTGTTGGACGTGGCGGAGATCACGGCGGCGGACGTGGCGGCGGCGGCCAAAGGGTGAGAAGAGACTGCTGGAAACAACGGTGACGACGTCGGCGAAGACAAACTCAGGCGGCGGCGACGAACTAGATAAAACGAGACGCAGGCGCACGCCACGCGACGGCGGAGGCGGCGGCCAAGAACGCGACCGGGGGCAGCGGCGGTTTAGGGTTAAACAGTGTGGTAAAAAATTCTTCGCTGTAAAAATCAATATATATCGAACATCGCTGACGGGTTACCCGTCAGCGATGTTCATTTCTCGTCAGCGATGTTTTATCCCTGACGGTATCGAAAGCATCGCTGACGGCAACATTTCTGACGGTTTTTCCCGTCAGAGATATAAACATCGCTGACGACTATTACCCGTCAGCGATGTTGCCGTCAGCAATACCTAGTTTTCCACTAGTGACAACATGCACAGCACTGTGCACTGTTTGCTGCTTTGAAACATTATTAGCAATTGTACTCCCACTATCATTCGCCTTCTCATTTATCAAAAAGTTACTTTTTTTACCCCCTGTATCAGAATTATGCATAGCCATATCCCTATTATTTCCTTCCTGATAACTGGCCACTTGCCCAGAATCATCCTTATTCAGGATATCATTTGAAAGCACAGGAGCATCATTCTCAATAATAGCTTTTCCTTTCCCAATATCATCAGATTTTTTGTGTCTGGCCTTGCTTAGGAATCCATTTTTGAGTTCTTACTTGCCTTCTACAGGATTTTATGTCATGTCCAACCTGCTTACATGCATCACACCACTTAGGTTTAAATTCATAAATCACCTTCTGAATGTATTGTTTCCCATTTGGACCTAGAATGGTGATCTTGTCAGGAAGAGGAGATGGCATTTTAACATCAACTAATACCCTCACATAAGCCAAACGCTGTTTGTTTGCAGTCAATCTGTCAGTAGCAATTGGGCATCCAATAGCGCTAGCAATTTTAGAAATGCTTTTAGCATTCCACAGATTGAGTCTTAGGTATGGGAATTGGATCCACATAAGATATACATTATCATTTATCTTCTCAATATCATCTCCATTTGACCATTGCTTCAATAACAACGGTCTTGATCCAAAGAACCAAGGTCCTGTACACATGATCTCATTCAACTCATCAATATTCTTGAATTTGATCAGAAAAATACCAGGTTTGAGAAAGTAGACCTCCGGCATAAATTTCTTCCATGTTTTTTGTACATAACTCTCCATAGCCTTGAACTTTACATTCAATCCCATTACTTGGCATATTAGTGAAGATTGCCATATTAATATATCCTCATTCCATTCATCATCGAAAGAAATTTACAGATATTCACATGAATATACAGATATTCACATGAATATACAGATATTCCATAGGAGCTCTTTATTCACATGAATATACAGATATTCTTCAAAGCAGCAACAAAATTCCAGAGTTTAGCAGAGAATATGCCTAAGCCACCAAAATTTTCCCCCTGACAGATTTTCTCCCATGCTACCAGAGAAAACTTTTGCTTATGATCAGTTCTTCCCCACAAAAAACCCCTGACAGATTTTCTCCCATGCTACCAGAGAAAACTTTTGCTTATGATCAGTTCTTCCCCACAAAAAATCCCTATTCATTTCATCAATTCTCTACCAGAGAAAACTTTTGCTTATGATCAGTTCTTCCCCACAAAAAATCCCTATTCATTTCATCAATTCTCTAGAAAGTAATACAAAGTTACCACAAGCTCATTCCATATTTGCTCGTAGGCGGTCCATGGTAGTTCTCGAAAATTGTAATAAGGATTGATGATGTTTTCTCTACGTACGAGAACACATATATAAATTTTTAACGCCTACATAATTATTGAATCTTGATGACCAAGTGCCAACAGGCAATAAATTGTTATTCCATCGAATAATGATTCTCATACCTCTTGGTGGTTGTTTGGACTCAAATTACTAGAGATTTGAGGGCCTAATATTGAAAAAAAAATTATTTTTTCAAAAAATTGCAAACTGCAATTCTGAGAAATTAATAATAAGATAAAAGTCAAATAAATGAAAAAGCCCATAATTAGCCATGCTATCTGATGCTCTGCCAAGTCACTGAGACCCGGAACTGAACTCGGATCGGACCATCCTGGTCCCGGTCTAGGCACGAGTATTTGCCCGACCCAGATTGGGCTTGCCCGGCCCGGCTTGGGCTTGCCCGGGCCGCTTGAATAGGCCTAGTTGGGATACGTACGTAGCCAAAAAACCCTAAATATTTTTAGCACAAAACGTTTCCAAATATTTGAAAAAAAGAAAAAGAATCCATTTCCACTTTTGGGCCCCCCCAGTTGTTGAAAGGTTGCAAACATAATTGTGTCTCTATGCTCTACACTGAGGGCACATGAACTGACCACCGAGTGATAGATAGATAGACGGCTGTAGAGTCTAAAACCCTAGATATATAACTAGAGGAGGAAAAGGATGCATCAACCAGTTTGAAGTTAATTGTGGTTGACACCCCCAGCCATTGCACTACTAGCTAGTGCACTCCCCCATTTTCAGTTCCCCTTCCCATATTTAGCTGAAAGCATTTTCACAACACAGCCTATTGCTCTCTCTACAGTATCCTCTTTTTAACCCCCTTGGTAACTTGTTGGAGACTGGAAGTGGTAGTTAGTGTGTATATATACACAATTAGTAAAAAATAAAAGAAAAAGAGGAAACGAAAGAAACATCTCCCCCATACCTTTCCTCTATTAATACAATACCTACTTTGGGCTTGAACAGAAGGAAAGTAAAGGAGAGAAAGAGAGCAAAACAACAAGGTTAAACAGAAGAAGAAGAAGAAGAGATGGGGAGGGGGAGAGTTGAGCTGAAGAGGATTGAGAACAAGATCAATAGGCAAGTGACCTTCACTAAGAGAAGGAATGGACTCTTCAAAAAGGCTTATGAGCTCTCCATCCTCTGCGATGCCGAGGTTGCCCTAGTCCTCTTCTCTGGTAGAGGGAAGCTCTTTGAGTTTGGAAGCCCTTGGTAAATATACTTTCCTAAACATCTCTCTCTCTCTCTCTCTCTCTCTCTCTCTCTCTCTCTCACACCTCTTTTGCCATGTTTGTTGTCTGATTTTTTAAAATGTTTTTTATAAGCCTATTTTATATTTGCACATGTGATTTGGTAGAGGTTTTTTTTTCGGTGGATCTATCTGTGTGATCCTCTACATATTTATCAAAATTGTTTCTACTTTTTTAATTTGTTATTAAAGTTAATAATATGTGTAGATCTTCATGATAAATGAAGATCTGAGTCTAGTTTTCATAAATCTTTCTTGATTCCTCTCAAACCTTTCCAAGAAATGTGGAGACATATCAGATATAATATATATGCACTGCTAGGGGA